ATGAAATTGAAAACAGTTGCCTCGTGGGTTCAACTAATCCATGGGACCAGCAGTAGTGGTGGCAGGGATAGTTTGAGGAAAAGTGGAGCCAGGGGGACACCAGCAGAGCATGTACAGGCAAGTGGCTGATAGTTTGAGGGTTTATACCATAGCTGAATACGTGAAAACCTGCAAAAACAGTGAACAAACACTGAAGGGCCAATAGAAGGATGCCTCCTCTCTATAGGTGGGATGTTAAAGTCTGACTGGCTCCTGTCTGGGTGACTCGGAAGCCAGAAGAGAGACCTCTCATGGCAGGGACCACTTATGAGTGGTCCAAAAGAAAAGAAAAGGAAAAGGAAGGAGAAAAAAATTCTGAGGGACCCTGGGCCCCAAATCGAATGCACCACACAGCATGTGCAGTGCTAGCACAGGAGAACTAACCCTGGGTAGTCTGGTCACGTTTTTAGCTATAGGAAGCAACCAGAGAAAAATGTCAGTGAAGGGCTCAACCATAGCCATGAAGGGTGTGGTTGGGGGCTGGATATGGGAAATTTCACCACCGAAGCTGCTGGTGTGCATAGAGGTCAGTGTTCAGGTAGATAGAACACAGAGCTGTTGTGAAGAAACCTTGTTCCTGAGCCGACAGTTCCATGTGCCCTCAGTCAGCCCACCTGCAGGTGGGAGGGAATGTGGAGAGAACCTGACTGAGTCACAAACACCAATGTTATGGTAAAAATAAAACAGCACCGTTCTCCGAGTAGTTGCAGCGGACAACAGATCCCGAGACCATGGTGGGCCATGAGGGTAGCTGGTCCCATGAGGAGCTGCAGCTGTGGCGGGTGAGAGACAGAGACAGGTAGGCATGCCATGCAGAGAAAGTGGGTATTTATTTAGTGGGTTATGGAAGGGAAGGGGAAAGGAGAGAAGGGGAAGAGTGTGTGGGAGAGAGAGAGAGAGAGACAGAGAGAGAGAGAAAGCAAGCACACGGGGGGGAGGAGAGGAGACATGGCAGCAGCTACCTGTTCAGGAGAGAGATGGAAAAGAAGGAGCTCAGACTGGAAGCGGAAGGGAGATCTGCCTGCCTCAGCAGTGGATGGAGGGAGGGGAAGGGCTTGTCTCTTAAAGGGACGAGACAGACCATTACAGTCAGTCAAAAGCTCATTGACATACCAACACCACTAAATGGACTCAGAAGGGTGTGTGTGTGTTTTATGCAATTATAATTATTAAAGATATGGTCATAAATAAGTGAGAAATGGGGACAGGAGAAGGCAAGGAGTTGGAGAGGACAGAGGGAGGGTAGAAATGATGTAATAACAGTACTCACAAAATTCTAAAAAACTCTTCAATTTGAACTTTTTTTTTTTAAAAAAAAAAAAGAGGACTTGTGACTTACCAGATGCATAAGTTCCTTTCAGAAGTGTCCCATTGTCCCCTGAGGAAATACACGACCTGGGAATAAGGGCCTAAACATTGCCTTTCATCTTTACCCTGTTGTCCTAATTAATTCAAGTATGAGCTATCGAATATGGAATATGTTAGTTGTATCACTACTGACGAACAAATAGTCATGTGACTACTTGGAGATTAACCAAAAATCAATTTTTAAATAAGTTTTGACTCAGTTAAGACTCAGAATTTTAAGCAGTGAGTAGCTTGACTAACTCAGAAGCAAATAGCTTTTCAATGGTGATTTTTTTTTGTAGAGGGCAAAAAGCCTTGTGCACACAAATAAGCAGCAAAGTTAGACACACAGCTTACCTCTTCAAAGGAATGAGGTGCAAAGTTGCTCTACCTGGAATCTAGAAATGAAGCCCTTTAACAGCCTAGTGATCCTTTGCTCTGGGATGAGAGAGGCTCTTCCTTATCTCCCAGAATTTATGTCTTTACTTATTCAAAACCTTCTTCCCTAAATCTTGAGCACTGTTTTTAGAGCATAACATCTATTCTTATGAATGATGTCACACATGCTTTACAACAGCCTAAGTGACTTCCTGATACCCACAGGCATTATGTTTACCTCAGTCATTCCCTCTAGACTGTAAATCTTGGGCACTATCTCTGAGTCAACAGTCTTGGGAAAGAAGCCAGATGGACTTTGTAAGGAATCTCAATGCAAACATGTTTTAAATTGTTGCACCCTTGGGACTGAGTGTGATTAAATATGGCTAAAGTAAAATGATGGGGCAGACTCTAGAAGTCCTGGTCCAGCAGCAGTTACAATAAAATTGATAAGAGTCGAGTTTCATTCTTGTTTCTTCAAGGATTGTTTTCCCCTGTGCCTGCTGTAAAGCCTGCAGGAAAATCACCACAGCTGCTGCCACAACATGGGATGCTGGACCCTCGGAGAAGATAGGGAAAGTTTTCTTTATTTTTTTTATTCTTTTATTTATTTATTTATTTATTAAAAATTTCCACATCTTCCCCTCCTCCCATTTCCCTCCGACTTCCCCTACTCCCTCTCCCTCTCCCTCTCTAGTCTTAAGAGCAGTCAGGGTTCCCTGCCCCGTGGGAAGTTTAAGGTCCTCCCCCCTCCATACAGGTCTATAAAGGTGAGCATCCAAACAAACCAGGCTCCCACCAAGTCAGTCCATGCAGTAGAATAAAAACATAGTGCCATTGTCCTTGGCTTCTCAGTCAGCCTTCATTGCCAGCCACGTTCAGAGTGTCCGTTTTGATCACATGCTCCATCACTCCCAGGCCTTGGTGAGCTCCGATTAGATCAGTCCTACCGTCTCAGTGGGTGGACGCACCCCTTGTGATCCTGACTTTTTTTCTCATGTTTTCCTTTCTTCTGTTCCTCATTTGGACCTTGGGAGCTAAGTCCAGTGCTCCAATGTGGGTCTCTGTCTCTATCTCCATCCATTGTCAGATGAAGGTTCTATGGTGATATGCAAGATATTCATCAGTGTGGCTATGGGACAAGGTCAGTTCAGACACCCTCTCCTCTGCTGCCCAAGGAACAATCTGGGGACCTGGGAACCCCTCTAGAATCAAGTCTCTTGCAAACCCTAAAATGGCTCCCTCAATTAAGATATTTACTTCCCTGCTCCCATATCAATCCTTCCTCCATCCCACCCATCCAACTCCCCCAAGCTTCCCGAATCCTCCCCTTCTCCCTTCTCTCTACCCATCTACCCTTACATCCATCCCCCTCCCCGTGCACCCAAGTTTTGCCTGGCAATCTTGTCTACTTCCAATATCCAGGAGGATAGCTATATGATTTTCTTTGGGTTCACATTCTTATTTAGCTTCTCTAAGATCACTAATTATAGGCTCAATGTCCTTTAATTATGGCTAGAATCCACTTATGAGTGAGTACATACCATATTCCTCTTTTGGGGTCTGGGTTATCTCACTCAATAAAGCATTTTCTATTTCCATCCATTTGCATGCAAAATTCAAGATGTCATTGTTTTTTACCGCAGAGTAAAACTCTAAAGTGTATATGTTCCACACCTTCTTTAATCATTCTTCTATTGAGGGGCACCTAGGTTGTTTCCAGGTTCTGACTATTACAAATAGTGCTGCTATGAACATAGTTGAACAAATGTTTTTGTAGTATGATAGGGCATCTCTTGGGTATATTCCCAAGAGTGGAATTGCTGGGTCCTGAGGGAGGTTGACTCCCAGTTTCCTGAGAAACCACCACACTGATTTCCAAAGTGGCTGCACAAGTTTGCATTCCCACCGACAATGGATGAATGTTCCCCTTACTCCACATCCTCTCCAGCATAGGCTATCATTGGTGTTTTTAATTTTAGCTATTCTGACAGGTGTAAGATGGTATCTCAAAGTTGTTTGGATTTGCCTTTCCCTGATTGCTAAGGAGGTTGAGCATGACCTTAAGTGTCTTTTGGCAATTCGAACTTCTTCTGTTGAGAATTCTCTGTTCAGTTCAGTACCCTATTTTATAATTGGGTTAATTAGAGTTTTAGTGTCTAGTTTCTTGTGTTCTTTGTATATTTTGGAGATCAGATTTTTGTCTGATGAGGGGTTGGTGAAGATCTCCCAATCAGAAGGTAGCCTTTTTGTCTTAGTGACAGTGTCCTTTGCTTTACAGAAGCCTCTCAGTTTCAGGAGGTCCCATTTATTCATTGATTCTCTTATTGTCTGTGCTACTAGGGTTCTACCTAGGAAGTTGTTTCCTGTGCCCATGTCTTGTAGACTACTTCCCACTTTCTCTTCTATCAGGTTAAATGTGGTCAGATTAATATTGAGGTCTTTAATCCATTTGGACTTGAGTTTTGTGCATGGTGATAGATATGGATCTATTTTCATTCTTCTACAGGTTGACGTCCAGTTATGCCAGCACCATTTGTTAAAGATGCTTTTCTTCTTCCATTGTATACTTTTAGCTCCCTTGTCGAAAATCAGGTGTTCATAGGTTTGTGGGTTGATATCCGGGTCTTCTATTTGATTCCATAGGTCGACTTTTCTGTTTTTATGGCAGTACCAAGCTGTTTTCAATAGTGTAGCTCTGTAATAGAGTTTGAAGTCAGTGATGGTAATGCCTCCAGAAGTTCTTTTATTGTATAAGATTGTTTTGGCTATCCTGGGTTTTTTGTTTTTCCATATAAAGTTGATTCAGGGAAGTTTTCTTTAAATAGAAATCAGGGGTTTAGGAAACTCAGTCCTCTCACCCAAGGGGTCGAGACTGTAAGTGAGGGAGCTAATAACATGGGCCTTCTCAGTCCTTTGAGACAAAGCATTTTGTACAGTTATTGAGATCTTTGTTAGATCTCAAGGAAGAACTATTCAGAACATCAACTTTATATGCATAGCCCATGAAAAGGGGCATAAAATCCATGTTAATCATTTTACAGGCTGCAGTTCAGTAATGTATTGCTTGGAACCTCTCAGCAGATTAAAAAAAAGACTTTTCTGCTACACAGCTTGGCTGGTCTTGGCATATAGCCAAAGGAGACTTCACCTGCTCAGGCTTTACATTAGTTACAGAGCTATACTGGGGCTCTCGTGAGTCATCTTTCTGCAACTCAACGACTTCCTGTCTGCAGCTTGTAGGACTACCAGGGTCTGGTGGAGCAGAGTGAGTTCCAAGAATGACCTGGAAGGGCCGAAGTACACTGTTTCTGTGGGCGTGGAAACCTCACAGGGATAAAAGCAGGTAAATTCTGGCGCATTTGGCAGAAAACAAGCTGAAGGCACGGCTTATTCTCTCCTGATTCTGCTGCCCATGGTCCCTGAGGGCTCAGCTGCAGGTAAGTGAAGTGAAGGGACAGCAGGTGTGGGAGCCCAGGACAACAGTGCCCTTACCTCTCCTTTCACATTGAGCGTTCTGCGTGCCCGAGCTTGAGGAACATCACAGTGGGCTCAGAGACAGGACCAGAGCTGCACGGAACTGAGGGACCCCGAAGAGATGTAGGAAAAGATGGGACCTAGGAAACTGCTTGACTGGAGCACAGGAAGGACTGAATTCACAGCCCAAACTGAATTCGCCCAAAACGTTCGCGAATCTCTGTGCGGAGTCTTCTGCGGGGGCCCTACTGAGGTCTCCCATTCTCTCTGCAGCTCCAGTCACACCTGTCTGGAACCTGGACTCAGGAAGGAACCATGGCAAAGGCTGAAGCCACGGGACGCAACCTTTCCCTAGTTCTGTGCCTTTTCCTTCTACTGAGCTGTCTGGGATCTTCCCTGTGGGCCAGTGAGTTACCGGGATTTAAAGGGAGGGGCGGAGAAGGGTGCATGGGGCTACTGAGTCAGGAAGATCTCCTCATGGGAAGAAGATCCTGGGCTTCTATCTCTTCACTATCTCTGGGATTTAAGTCTGGGCGCCCTTGTCCTCACCACATCCCTCCCCTTTCTCTTCAGTGGATTGACAAAGTTAGGGAGGAAAGTAACTGCTGCAGGGCTGTAAGGGGCTGAATGAATGAGGAGGACAGGATAGCAGAGGGGAGTAGCTAGTGATGCCCTCAGCACCACTGGGATTCACTGAAGCCTAAGCCTCCTCACCAGTGCTGACCCCTTCAGAAGGCTGTGTCAGCTCCCCTGGACCTAAGGCAGTCTATGCTCTGAAGACTGCCTTCGGGGGATTCCTCACCAGCCCTCCATCATTCGGTGACCCCTTTGTCCTTGAACTTTCTTTCCCACCATCTCATGCTATTCTCTGGAAGGTGACAATAGAGGCTTCCTGGGAGAACCACAGGCAGCCATGACCATACAAATTCATACTTTTTTACCTTTTCTCTTCTCTCTCTCTTTCTTTCTTTCTTTCTTTCTTTCTTTCTTTCTTTCTTTCTTTCTTTCTTTCTTTCTTGTTTTTGTTTTGTTTTAAAGCAGGATTTCACCCCACAGCTCACCGTATAGAGTCGCCAATAATCCCTTTTTTCCTCAGTCTAAGCTCAGTTTCCATCCCCATGGGACTCATCCTATGGCTCCTCACTTTCTGGTCCATCCTGCCTTTCCCTCTTTCCCACCCATGAAGTGCATTTACGTCCTCTTCCAGGTGGCAGACTGCTCATGCCTGAAGACACCTTGACTAAGCAGGGGCTAGCACACTGCTATTGAGGTCTCTGGAAATGGTCCTGGCTGGGGTGTTTAAAGTCTTCTGTCCTTGATCCCAAGTCCATAGAGTCTACCTTTTGGGGAGACGACAGCAATCAGATACTGGGGTTCATTTAGGAAGGAAAGGGTTTTTTTTTTCTGTAAATGGCGGGCACTAAATATTTTCAACCTGGCACGTCTCATTATGTCTATCCTGCATCAAATACTCATGTCTGCAGTCCGTGTGACAGAAGCAGAAGGCAACAAATTGATGTATGGGACAGCAGATTTGTTCTCTGTCCCCAGATTAGGTGTATACCCCATGTACCAGTATAGGTGCCCAGAGTGTCTTGAAAAACAGTGCCAAAGTTGCACATTTCCCAGTAAACAATGGGTTCTGTGCTGCCTATGATGTCTGGGACATCTAGAAATGACAGGAGGAGGGCCTGGGTTTAGGGCCTCTTCATCTCTTCATTGCTGTCCAGCACAATCCTTAGATCCCATGGCCTTAAAGAACACTCCTTGAAGCCTGAGGTGCTTGCTGAGGGACAGATGGCAACTTACTTGAGAACTAACCTCAGTTGCTTCCTCTACATGAAATAAGATCTCCACATTCACTTGGAAAACAAGAGATGCTCTGTCACAAGAGAGTCCTTATCTCTTCCTGCTAAGCAGCTCTCAACACACAAGTGGCTTGTTATGTCCCTACAATGATGTCTCACTTCCGAACATCTTGTCTGACTCTGGCCTGTCCACCTAATAATCTAGTAATAAGAGCTCATTTCATGATGTCTGCCTGGGGCCTGATGGGCCTTCTGATAGCCCAGGACCACAGGCTGCTCTCTCCCAGGGCCCAGAGCCATGCCAGGAAACACAAAGGAATGGAGTGCATTTTCCCTGTAGCACATGGGTCAGACTGAAGTCTGCCCAAGAAAGGTCTCTCCAATTAGACATTGACATTAACTCCACCCAGAGTCTTTTTCTAGAACTAAACTTGGGCTGACAAATTGTCCTGGATCATAGAACCCTAGGAAAGTTCCAGCCATGCTCTTCATGGATGTATTGTCTCTAGTTGTTTTCAAGTTCCCAGAGCAAAGCTGAGCAGGTGTAACAGAGACCATCTGTCCTGTGAAGACTTCAGTACTGATACAGTGGCTGTATTGGTCACTTTCTGCTGCTGTGATGAACACCAAGGCCACGGTCGCACACAGAAGGAAGGGTTTGGGATCTTAGAGTTTCAGAGGACAAGAGTCCGTCACCTCACAGCAGAGAAGCTTGACAGTTGGGGTGCACGGTAGCTGGAGCAGCAAGCTTGGAGCCCACAAGTTTTTAGTTCAGTTTGTTTTATTTGTTGTTTTGTTGTTGTTGTTGTTTTAGTATAGCACACATCTTGGTTTGTTTATTTTTCAAGACAGAGTTTCTCTGTGAAACAGTCCTGGCATGTTCTGAAATTTGCTCTGCAGGCCAGGCTGTCCTGGAACTCACAGAGATCCTCCTGCTTCTGCTTCCTCAGTGCTGGGATTAAAGGCATATTCCACCACCACCCAGCTGGTTTGGGTTTTTGAGATGAGGTCTCCCTATATAGTTCCTGCTGTCCTAAAATTTACTTTGTAGAACAGGATGGACAAAAACTCACAAAGATCTGCCTTACTCTGCCTCTCAAGTCTTGGCATGAAAGATATGTGATACCATGTCGAGATGAGAACACACATCTTAAACCTCAAGCAAGGTCCAGAGATGAAGAAATGGGAATGAGTTTTAAAGCCACACCCCTAGTGACATACTTCTTTCAGCCAGGCCATACTTCCTAAACTTATTCAAACAGCTGCCACCAACTGGGTACCACACAGTCAAACACCCTACTCTACAGAGGACAGGGTCATTCAAATAACCACACTAGACACTCACAGGACCATCTGGGGGTTCATCCCCTGAGTGACGGGGCAGTAATGAAGCAATACAGAAAGAATGACTGCACTTGCTGCTGGGCTGAATGGGATCTTGTTGGGATCTGATTGGCCCTCATGGAAAGATAATTAGAGTCTGTCTTTGATAAGGTTCAGTTTTAATTTTTTTCCAGATTGATTTTGTTTTAACTGCCTGTATGTATGTACATTACATATGTGCCTGATACCATCAGAGGTCAAAAGAGGACGTTTGATCCCCTGGGCTTGGAATTACAGGCTGTGGTCAGCCACCATGTGTGGGTGTTGAGAATCAATCCTATATCAACTACAAGAACAAGTGGTCTTAACCCCTGCACCACCTCTATAGCCCCAATGGTCCAGTTTAAACAATGGGCACAGGAGTCGGGGTTTTCATGGGACAGCAGCTTTCAGCTTCTTCATCATCTGCTTTGTCTTCTTTTTCTTTGCTTGTTTTTGGTTTTTGTTTTGTTTTTCTTTTTTGTCGCGTCTATTAATTTTCTTTCCTTCGTATTTTTTTTTATTTTTCCATTCAAAAATTTACATTTCCTCCCCTCCTCCCATTCCCCTCCCACGCCCCCACTCTCCCTCCTCCCTACTGTCCCTCCTTAAGAGAGGTCAGGGAACCCTGCCCTGTGGGAAGTCCAAGACCCTCCCCACTACAGCCAGGCCTAGGAAGCTTTGCATCCAAATAGACTAGGGTACCAAAAAGCCAGAACATGCTGTAAAATTAAGTCCCAGTGCCTTTATCAATGGCTTCTCAGTCAGTCCCCATTTTCAGTCACATTTAGAGAGTCCAGTTTAATCGCATGCTCATTCAGTCTCGGTCCAGCTGGATTTGGTGAGCTCCTATTAGAACAGGCACACTGTCTCAGTGGGTGGACCAATCCCTCGAGGTCCAGACTTCCTTGTTTTTATTTTTTTCAACACAAGGTTTCTCTATCTACCTCTGGCTGTCCTGGAACTTACTTTGTAGACAAGGATGGCCCCAAACCCACAGAGATCTCCCTGCTTGTGCCTCATTGAGTGCTTGATTTAAAGGCATTTGTCATCACCACCCACTTTGTCTCTAATTCTTAAAACCCAGCCACATCTGGGTTAGCTAACTATCTTTCTGTATTTAGGATTTTGATGTTCTGTTAGCCATGACTCCTCAGCAATTAGACTTCAAGGTGGGTCCTTTTTACTCATCAGTGGACCACTGCCTTTGATGTTACTGCTTCCTGACCACTGCACCCTATGGGGCTTTTCTGTACCATGTTGCTACAGTTCAGGAATACAGTTTCTGAACACCAACTTCAGCCTAGAGCCATCACCATCACCATCCCTGAATTTCCTTCAATGCTAGTGCCCTACTCTCTGGTCCTTCTCACTGTGCTTCTTGACAGCGATGCTCCAAAATAGAGCAGCATGGACTCTGCACACTTCCCCTGGAAATGTTTGCTATTCCATCCATTCTGGCAATGCACTTCTCTGTGATTTTTGATACCACTCTTCTACTGACAGATTTAACCAGTCTAGAATTTCTTTGCACTGTAATGTGGGCTAGCCTCTGACCAGTACAGGAAGCCATCCCTGGAGCACCACAGTGCATCCAGGGGAATGATCTTGAGTGTGTACTTTTAGTCTCACTCTTTTGCTGTGATAAAACATTCTACCGAAAGCAATTCATGTGAGAAATGTTGTCTTGCTCAGCGTTCTGTTGCTGTGGAGAGACACCATGACCATGGCAACTCTTAGAAAAGAAAGCATTCATTTGGGACTTGCTTACAGTTTCAGAGGTCTAGTACATT